TGTTTTCAATATTTATTTTGTTCTTTCTCTTTTTCACTTTTTTTTTTTTCTTTCTTTCTTTCTTTCTTTCTTTCTTTCTTTTTCTTTTACATTCTCTTCCCTGCTTCCTTCAATTTTTTACACATTTTCTGATAACTGCTTTTACTCTATTGCATATTTCTGTCTCTTCATTCCTTTTTATTATTACAATGTCTTTTTATTCCTTTTTATTATTTCTGTCTTTTTTCTTCCATACTTCATTCCTTCTTCCATGTTTTTGTTTTTTCTTCCTTTATGAATTTCATTTTTTTTTCTTGGTGTTATTTAGTCCTTATCTTTGCCCTTTGCTTTCTTTGCTGACTTCTAATTTTTTTTGAGTTTGCAAGTATGCTGTTCCTTATAGTGGACTACTTTCTGATTTAACTTCAGTGCAGGCAGGCTACTGTTGCATAAAAAAAATATGTTGGTTTCATCCCCATTACCTCTATTTTTGTATTAATAAACAACTTGCAAATGCCTTCAGTCTCAGTTTCTTTGTCAACAGCCCCCTCCTTTCCCCTTGTAAGAAACTAACTATCCAGTCCCCCTATAAGATTCTAACCATCCTGTCCCACTGGAAAATTTGAACCATACTATCCCCTCTGGAAGATTCTAACCTTTCTATCCCTATGTAAATTTTTAACCAATTTGTTTCCCTGTAAGATTTTAACCATCCTGTCTCCCTGTAAGATTGTTACCATCCTGCCCCTCTGTAAGATTCTGACCATCCTATCCCCCTGTAAGATTCTAACCATTTTGTCCCCCTGTAAGATTCTAGATTGTGTAGAGTTGAATGTAAGTGCAGTGACTTTCCATGACGCTGGTTATTTAGTTACTACCAGGCCACCACACTATAGACAGGGAAGATTGGGGACATGGTGACATGAGAGACATGCATTACTTCCACATCCAGCTGATTTCAATTGATAGACTTGCACAACAGGAATGTGTCCTGGAATGTCATCCACCTTTACAGGGCAGTTGACTTTTATCTTTATCTTTTACCTTTTGAATATATGTGAATGCACAAACAGATTCATCAAAGATTTGTTCCTAACAATGTTCAATCTATAGCGCTTTGATGTACGGTACTGGATGTCTGTAGGAGTCAGAAAAGGATTCCACCTCAGTGGTGAAAGACTGTCCCTTAGTTCTGGTAAGTTGTACTGTATTGTGTATGGTATGTTCATTTTTATTTATAATTGTTTGAGTAAATCTATTTTCTCTATAGTGGATTTTTCAAACAATATTAGTCTTTTTTTATGGATTCATTTAAATAAGCAATAAAGTAAAGGTAGTGGTATTTTCATATTTAAGGTATTTGTATGACTTACTTAACATGGAGCTGTAGTCTACCACATAAGCTACCTTTTTCAGGTGAAAAGACTAACTGTTCATTGTATTCTGTTTAAACTCATAAAAGTGTTTAGTTCATATTTTCCCCACAATATGGGAAAAAAGTATAAAAGTTTAAAAAATACTTGACAATCCTTCATGAGAGTTTGGCTAATATGACCCACACCTATTCTTTTCTCAGAGCACAAGCTAACGTTGATCCCAGTCAACGATGGTTTACGTCACCGTCCTCGCAGTAGCTGGAGCATCGTGTACCTCAACACAGAACTCTGCCTGGCCCAAGTCTGGCTTCAGAGTGCAATGAAGGACTACACCACCTTCAGTGACGAAGAGGATCGCCCTCAGGTGTGTGGGAAGGACAAGTGTTCACATAAAGTTTTGATTTTGGCAATGGCTTTGTAAATATGAATGCTGTGAGAAAAATGATGATGATGAAATATTTATTACCATGATGATATATTTATTGATTTATCATTATTGATATATTTGTATATTTTCTGTCTCCCTTTCATTTCAGGAGCCAGTTTCTGCACCTGTAGAAAAATTCTATTTCCTAAATGTAAACCGAGTAGAGTACACCAGAGAGACCCTCACCCCCACACCAGCAGACTCTACTCCAGATCCAAATCTTCGTGATAAGCCCAATCACCGTCTTGTAGTACATGGCTTGAAGGTAGGGGTTTCTTTTACAATTTGCTTGCCCTTTTGTATGACTATGATTAGCGTACTGAAGAAAAACACTTATATCAAATTGATAAGTACATACATAACTGCTTGATTTCCTTTACCTAGGGAGCCTGGACCACTAACAACAGAGACATCGTCTTTGCCCTGTACGACTCCTGGAACAAGTCACAGCAGCTCCGGCGAAACCTGACCCCAGACATTATAAAGAGCTACAATCCAGAGGCTTCTACACCCCAGAAGCCAAGGAGTCGATCCATTACAGACAATTCAACCCCACAGAACCTAACCTCTCCAACAGCATCATTGCAGGCAAGTGAAGGGCTAGATATTCCTTTTATTACTGTTTTTAGCAGTTCCATGTCTTGTCAGAAAGAATAAAGAATTTTTAATAAGTTTCGTTCTTCAGGTTCCTCCAGTCCAAGCCACACCATCACCAATGTCACGCCTTCAGTCTGGTCATGCTCAAGCCATGCTTCAACAGCTTATTGCTGAAGCTGATAACAACCAAGTGAGTTTAGCATTCAGTAGGTGATGCTCTCAATGTTTTATACAGAATTTTGATTTCTTCACTTTAGTTGCTTTACTGTGAATGCTTGTGTGTCTGTGTCTTTAATGTGTGCTCAGGAAATGATCACGTGGTCAAGATGAACTGATGTTATTTCAGGTTGCATTTAGTGAGGACTGTTCAAACACAGAGCCCAGAGACCAGATACCCCATGGAGTTAAAGCCTGCACTGTTGATGATGTCATTCACAAGAAGTGGCTTAGTAAGTATTCTGTAATCTTTTACCCTGATAATAGTATGATATAAATTGCCCAAGGTTATTGTTATAATCTCTATCTGTTTGTACTCCTTCCCTTTCTGCTTTGACTCCTCCAAATTTAAATTTACTTTCTTGCAGTTGTTCTGGTCAACAGTCAAGTGCTTCTGAAGGGCTGTGAAACAAATGGCTATGTGATCCTCAGTGCTGCCAATGCACAGATCCTGCAGCGCATCCACCGTCCAGTGTGGCAGGATCACTCCCTTGTCACGAAGACCACTTGGTTTGGGTCACTAGAATGCATGCAGTACTACGCCACTGTTAGTAGTGCTGGGGACAAGGAGACACAGATGGGTAAGAATGCTTGCATGTTTTTTTTCACTGCATATGCATATCATATATGTGAATGCCTCTGGGTGGGTGAGTGTATGTATGCATGCCTTTGTCAATTTTCCACTCTCTTCAGATAACATAATGTGGCTGACATTGGACAATATTGAAGAGAAAGATGGGCAAGTGATCAATGAAGTAGCTGACATAGTGGGAAGTGGACAGTCTGTGGGTGGAGTAGTCTCTCAGACTGTTGGCTCAATGGATGAAGATGATGAACTTCAAGTAAGTGCTTTTGTATTTTACAGTCCTTGAATTAGTTTGCAAGAACAAATTATTTTCACAAGTGGTATCATGGATTTAAGAAGGTTCAGCAGTTCACTAATTCAAGATATTGAAAGTTTCAAGCCAAGTCAGAGGCTGGTAGAAGCAGTGACAAATGATTCTCTTTTTTCCTGATTTTGCTCTTTTCCTCCTTGTTCTTGTACACATGGCCTAACACTTAACATTTTCCAACAACAGCTGCAGCGCATAGTATCAAGGTGCAAGTGTGAATTTTATTATGTGGCTTATGGTGAAACTGGCCTGGACGTCTCTCTGCTGGAGGAGGTTCATCCCCCGCTCCCTGAGGACGACCTCTGGAGCCGCAATGTGGAAGCCGTTGACACCTTCACACTAGTCCATCATGACCTCTGTGCAAGCACTAACTCCCTGCAGGTATGTAGTTTTAAACAAATTGATATAAAGATATAAAAGATGAGGAAAAGGTGTCATTAGTTTTAATTTTATCTTCCAAATTTTATAATTTTGTAATTATTCTTATACTTCTTTTCTCCACCTCCTCCTCCTTTTTTTCTTCATCCTTTTGTTTCTTATCCCTCTCCTTCTCTTCATTCACTTTCTTCTTTTCTTTCTCCTTCTTCTCCTTCAACATCTCTCTCTCATTTTCTTTCTCATTTCCTTTCACTTATCTCCTCCTCCTCCTCCTCCTCCTCCTCCTCCTCCTCCTTTCTCTTCCCCACAGCCTTTCTCTTCCCCTTCCCTATTCTCTTTCCCTTCCTCTCCCCCTCTCCCTCCCCCTCTTCCACTAGCCCCTTGTAATGCCCTTGTGTTACTCCCTGCAGTATAACATGGTTGTAGACATCCTGAACAACCTGCTTCTGTATGTGGATCCCAAAAAAAAGGAAGCGAGTGAGGCTGTTGCCCGCATGAGGTTCCAGCTCCAGCTCTACTCGAGAGACGACCAACGAAAGCCCATCATCAGGCTGCAGAATCAAGTCAGGTAAGAAGGAATCACTTGGTCTTATTGTGTTGACTGTTATCTTGAAGTGGATGTTTATGTTTATATCTGTGTAAGCCACTTAACTTTAGATTTACTGCAGAGTATGGCAGAGAAACAGGTTGCATTTCATTTCAATTGAACTTAAAGTAGTAGTAGTAGCAGTAGTAGTAGTATTTTAGCTGCAGTTATCAGTCAGATAGAATATTTTTGCTATTCATCACCCTTCTAATCTCAACTTTCCAGTAAGATAGTAAGAGTAATATGCATGAGGAAGGTATATTAATTAAATGACTTTACAGGTATCATCTGTCACAGCTGAGATCACTAGAGAAAGAAGTCTATCTTGTCCAAAGACACCTCCTCAATGACCCAACCAATCAACAAAAATTAGATGAAAAAGAAGTACTAGAGAAGCAGGTAAGGGTCGTATTTTTGTGTGATTAATGTGGTGCATAATTTCTTTTAAATCCCTTATTTTGTGTGTGTGATCACTAAATTATTTCACTTTTGTAGGTGGCAGAGTGCAAAGAAAAAGTTAATGGCTTGAGTGAAGAATTAGCCATGAGAATTCACCTGTACAATGAAACCCAGCTCTCTGCTAATCACAAGTGGACATCATCAGGTGGAGACAAGCAGGTAACCATCTGGTTTGCTTTAATATTCCATCAATTTCTTTGCTTCATGAGATTTTCAGGGTTCTGATATAATCTTTTAGCTTGATTAAGTGTATGCAATATAGAATAATATTATCAAATTGAAGACACTGCATCAGCTGGAGGAAATTTGTGAAGAAAATCTGTTCAATAAAACATATCAAATCTGCTTATATCTTGTATTGTCTTCTTTCTCTCCAAGACGAAAGTGATCCGGATGAATGAAGTTAGCTTCAGGAAGGCTCAGTGGCGATTGACAGAGAAGGATGGACAGCTTGGTATTGCAGATCTGGTGCTCTCAAATTTCTTGTAAGTTGTAGTGTTTTGCCTGGATAAGTGAATTACATATATGAAAAATGCTATACTTATTCAGAGACATGAATACAAAGAAGAGTTGAAGAGTAATTCAATAATAAAATTGCTAAAAAGAAATCATAAGTCAAAATAAAAATATCATTCAAAATTATCACAGGTACACAAAGAAAACCAATGCAGATGATAGTGGAGAACATCTTTTGGAACTTGGCTATGTCACCATGAGGAACCTTTTGCCAAATCAAATTTACCAAGAGGTTCTCATGCCCTCTGAGCTGCAGATGAACATGCCTGTTGATCGTCAGGTAAGTCAGGTTGCATCATAATAGTTTTGCAATCAGATTTTCTATTGCTCACCCAGTAAGAATGAAATGTTAGTTTTAGAGAAGGATATGTCTTTCTTCATTTATTTATTTATTTTCTTTCTTTTCATCCTCTTGTAAGAAAAGAAATTGTGTGTTATTGTGCTTACTGAGTATTTGAGATTTGAGTTGCATCTGCTTGTATTTTCAGAGGACTCTACGAATATTCTGCAGAGAGAAGCCCCCATGTGGTGGGATATCTATCATTGAACACTTTGAGGTTAATGTTGTACCTCTAAATATTGGTAAGAGTTCCCGTTTTCATTGATTTGTAGCAAATAGCAATAATAGATTACTGTTGTACTGATTATAAGATATAGTAGGAAATATGTTATTGTTTAAAACCAAAGCATTTTTTTTTTTTTTTCTTCTTCTTCTTTTTTTAGTTTTTTTAGTTTTTTTTTAGTTTTAGTTTTAGTTTCTAGAATAAATATGATACTATACAAGCATTCATACTAGTTACTAATATTTTAAAAATTGTTCAATTTCACAGCCCTGACCTATCAGTTCTTCAAAACAATGATGAAGTTCTGCTTCCCAGACAACACAACAGAAGAGGAGTTTGCAGGGAGTGAGGTCTCATCAGGTATTACTGGAAAAAAATCTTTTTAGTCATTTATGTAATTGATAGAGATATCATTGTCTTCTTTATACTCATAATTGTTATTATAATCATTAGATATCATTATTATAATCATCATCATCATTATCATCATCATTATTATTATTATTTATTATTATTATTATTATTATTATTATTATTATTATTATTATTATTATTATTATTATTATTATTATTATTATTATTATTATTATTATTATTATTATTATTATTATTATTATTATTATTATTATTATTATTATTATTATTATTATTATTATTATTATTATTATTATTATTATTATTATTATTATTATTATTATTATTATTATTATTATTATTATTATTATTATTATTATTATTATTATTATTATTATTATTATTATTATTATTATTATTATTATTATTATTATTATTATTATTATTATTATTATTATTATTATTATTATTATTATTATTATTATTATTATTATTATTATTATTATTATTATTATTATTATTATTATTATTATTATTATTATTATTATTATTATTATTATTATTATTATTATTATTATTATTATTATTATTATTATTATTATTATTATTATTATTATTATTATTATTATTATTATTATTATTATTATTATTATTATTATTATTATTATTATTATTATTATTATTATTATTATTATTATTATTATTATTATTATTATTATTATTATTATTATTATTATTATTATTATTATTATTATTATTATTATTATTATTATTATTATTATTATTATTATTATTATTATTATTATTATTATTATTATTATTATTATTATTATTATTATTATTATTATTATTATTATTATTATTATTATTATTATTATTATTATTATTATTATTATTATTATTATTATTATTATTATTATTATTATTATTATTATTATTATTATTATTATTATTATTATTATTATTATTATTATTATTATTATTATTATTATTATTATTATTATTATTATTATTATTATTATTATTATTATTATTATTATTATTATTATTATTATTATTATTATTATTATTATTATTATTATTATTATTATTATTATTATTATTATTATTATTATTATTATTATTTAATTATTATTACTTTTTTAATACCTTCCTTATGCCCATCCTTTTAGAGGGTAGTTTCATTCCAAGTGGTGAAGATTATCAAATGTAAGGAAGTTATCACTTTTAAATATGCTTTGTTAATTTAGTTCTAATATTTCTCTGTTAATTGGATTATGAAGGCAGTGTGTAGTTAGTTCATCACCAGTGGTCTTTCAAACTTGGTATCACTCAACCAATTATCTTCCCAGGAGGCCAGAGCACACGTGGCAGCAAGAAACAAGCATCGCTGCGGAAATCTCACAAGGAGTCCAACTTTTATGTGGCTCTGCAAGATAAGGATGATGTAGAGATTATGAAGGTAAATTGATGCAGACTGCTTGTCCTGATGGTTTTACTGTTTTGGTATATGGTATACTGATGCATTTTCTTTTACTGTGGCCTGAGTTTATAGGAGGGAGTTTCACTATGTATACTCTATTACATATATGTCTTGTAGGGATTTTTTCTCTTTTTTTCTTTTTCTTTTTTGTGATTTATGAAAAAGCAGTAAACCTTTGGGTAAATTTTCATTATTATTGAGAAGAAAAGAAAATAACCCTGTCTTTCTCTCCCATTATGCAGCAACGAGCAGAGCAGAACAAGTTATTTGTTTATATAAAGATCCCAGAGCTTCCAGTGCGAGTCAGCTACAAAGGCAAAAAGGAAAAGAACATTGAGGATGTATCAAACTTCCGCTTGGTGGTGCCGACCCTAGAATACCACAATGTGACATGGACGTGGCTTGACTTCCTAATGGCTATGAAGCAGGATTCCAAATCAGCTCTCTTGTCTCAGGTGAACAGTTGATACCTTTAGAATTTAATGTGGTTAATTGCATATTTGGTATATTCAGAATTATTTATTTATTTGCCTATTGATTAATTGATTTAATGCTATATATCACTATGTTTGTTTAGTGCTGATTTTCGTATATACTTGTTAATACTATTCTCATATAACCTCCAGGCCATCAAACACAAGTTGAACCTGGCTCACTTCAGGGCAGATGAAGCTGCCACACCCAATGAGGAAGAGAAGGCGCGACTCTTGTTGGGAAGCAAATTGATGGTAATTTTTTTTTCTTTCATTCTCTCCTTTTACTGTGCATATGTGTAACTGTTTTTCACCTTTTCCTTCTTTTTTATTCTCCCTTTTGCAGGAATAGGAAAACAAGAAAGTACCATTAAAATATATACTCAAATTTCATTAGATCTTTAATATATTGCAGATACAAGTGTTGCCCTTTTGGATTTTACTGTTCATTATAAGCTAATTTACTAATCTACCTTATTCTCTTTCTTTTTTTCTCCTCTCTCCTTTGCCCACAGCCACCAGAGTCCAAAGGTACGAAGAAGAGCTTGTTCAAGTTCAACAGATAGCCTACCAGGCATGCAGCACGTCGTAGTTGCTCAACTTCACATACTAAAGGAAACTTATTGGTTGGTTTTTAAGTATGGTGTAAGGGCAAATGTAACTTCACATATTTCTTCATATTTTTCCCCCCATACTGGAATAAGAAATAGAAGTAATGAGTATATATAACTTAGCTGTAATGGAGCTGTGGATCTGTGATTAAGGCTAAGAAGTTAGAATGCAGCTGATTTTGTTCTTTTGGTGGTGAAGCATCATGTAGTGTGTCTTTGATTTTGTGAACTCTTTGCTTTGTATCACTTATTTGCCTTAAGTATTTGAGAGCAAGTTAGTGGGCTCTTTGTTAGTGTTATTATTATTTTTTTTAACTGGTAAATATCAGTCATCATAGAAATGTGTTCTGGACTCCCCAAAATTTATGTAGCGAAACACATGGTATCAGGAGTTTTTTCTGTGATATTAAGGGGAAACTCAAGAATGTAGCAGATAAAAGTTATATGATTATTATTATATATATTTTTTTTATAAATATCTTTCTGCTTCAAAATTATATTTTGCTTAAGTGTGTAATTTTATTGTAGCACATGACATTAATCTAGTTCCAAAAATGGTGCATTAGTTGTTAAGACTTTTAAGAGAGATAAGGAGAGATTCTTTTTATATCCAATATGTAATTTATTGATAAAGATAGCCATGAAATTTTGAAAGATGCACATTCTGAATTATCATTTTTTTCAGAAGAAAATGTATGAGGTTCACTTTTATTCATGGATCTACTTTGACGGAACTTAGTAAGTTCACCTTGGCTCTGATAATAAGGAAGTTCTTTGAATTCTTTGTTGAGAGAAAAACTCATATTCGTCTTCTCCTTTCGATCTTCTTTCTTATTCATATTAACAAAGAATAAATGATGAACAAGAGTACCAGATATTTCATTCATTTTTCAGGTAGACGATATTAAGAGCATGAGAGTGTCTTAGAACCCTTAATGAGATAACATGTATGTGTGAGAAGTTAAGACCAAGCACATTTAACTTAATATGAATGAATGAATGTCAAGGAAAAGGGGTGAAAGAGGGAGGCGGAAGAGGAGGAAAAATAGAAAGCAGAGGTAAATGTGTGTGTGTAGAGATTGTGATTAGCTAGTGGATTGATATTTTTGTATCTAGTTAGTAATGTGCAATGGCTTTAAATTCAGGGTAATGGGTTATCTTGTTGATTTTTTTTATTTTTTTTTTGAGGTTCACTTTTATTCATGGATCTACTTTGACAGAACTTAGTCAGTTCATCTTGGCTCTGATAATAAGGAAGTTCTTTGAATTCTTTGTTGAGAGAAAAACTCATATTCGTCTTCTCCTTTCAATCTTCTTTCTTATTCATATTAACAAAGAATAAATGATGAACAAGAGTACCAGATATTTAATTCATTTTTCAGGTAGACAATATTAAGAGCATGAGAGTGTCTTAGAACCCTTAATGAGATAACATGTATGTGTGAGAAGTTAAGACCAAGCACATTTAACTTAATATGAATGAATGAATGTCAAGGAAAAGGGGTGAAAGAGGGAGGCGGAAGAGGAGGAAAAATAGAAAGCAGAGATAAATGTGTGTGTGTAGAGATTGTGATTAGCTAGTGATTGATATTTTTGTATCTAGTTATTAATGTGCAATGCTTTAATTAGGGTAATGGTTATCTGTTGATTTTTTTTTATTTTTTTTTTGCAGTATGAGTAGATTTAGAATATTTTGATCTATAGCAGAAGCCCACTTCTTATTTTGCATATTGTAGACATTTTTTTCTTGTTTTTTTTTAACTTCCTTATGAACACATTCTTTATTGCAGAATATCTAGACAGTTTATAAAATCTTGGCTAAGAAATGAATTTGTTTTCATTTCACATCTGCATATTGTTGTTGTTGTTTTTTGTGAAAAAATAATATGCCCATTTGATTTAAGGAAATAAATCTTGCTTTGTTGATAAAGATTTTTATGTAAAATGAAATTGATTACTGTTATACTAACTTCATTTATTAGTTATATTTACTTCAGTAACATTAGGAAAACTGATATATTTTAATAGTTCCATTACTTAAAAGGGAAATTTGTAAAAATCATAAAATAGTTAACCTCTAATTCTTTGCTTTGTCTATACAATAGGACATATTCCAGCCAAATGAAGATATAAGCCTGATTAATGTAAGTTTGATTACTACCCATATATTTTCCTCATATAAAGAAATTCACGAGAATATGCACATATTTCCCTTTTTTCTCTGTCATACACAAATAGTATAGTTTATTAATGCAGAGATAATAAAAAAAAAAAAAAATGTACCTAGTATGTAGTGTGAATTTTAGTTCCCATAATAATTGCACTTCAATTACACTTTGGTATTGATCATTGTTAGTTTTTTATATGCAGTTACCTTTGTAAGTGGTGAGAATTAAGTATCTGAACATTAGGGGAAAGGTATTACATAATGATTTTGTAAGGTAGGTTGATTTGAGTTTTGTGAAGTTGATATGTCTTTCCATATCTACACATTGTAAAACCCTACATGCACTACTTTAGTACACTAATGTTTCATATTTTTTACTACACTTCTTTTTGGTACATGACATTTTGGTAGCTTATATTATTGCATTTGCCAGTCACGTTCACCAAATGCTTTCTATGCACACTGTATCTAGGGAGTGAGGTTTTCTTGATTTTCTCATAGTCTCGTAGTCTCAGTGGGGTAGAGGTAATCATTGATATGAAAGGAGAGATTTGCTTCTTAGCTTTTGATTCTGCATTTTTATTTTCTGTATGAACTAAATGGTTGCACTGCTTGTAGAATGGAAGTAGTCAAAAGGTCTGATTACAAAGCCAAAGATTTCAGTAGGTAAGCATATAATATTTTGTCTTACCTGAAAATGTCGTATGAAGGTGTCTGTGTATGTGTCTGTTTTTTCTTTGTTTTGAGGTTGTCTGATTCAGCAATATAATTAATGTTCCTACATTCGCCAGATGTTGCTGCTTGTGATGATAATTGTTCACTGTTTCATCTATCAGTGTTAAAATGTTCCTGTAGGAATTACACCGTCTTGAGAATAAATTATTTTGTTAATCAGAATGGAATAATATTCAAAGAGTGGATAAAAATCATTATAACAGATACAATTTTTCACCTTCGTTAAGTTCAAATCAAATCAGGCCTATAAATCATATTTGATGGTATTGTATACAGTATTATTTTCTTATGCTATTTTGGTTAGTGTTTAACCACAGTTTGAATTATTTTTTGAAAAGTCCATCCTTGTATCACTGAGAAAACAAGCATTTGTGGGTCAGAATACATGTAGCTAATATATTGATTACCTTATACCATCCAGAATACACAGTATCTTACATTTTTGTCTTTTAGAAAAGAAAATTGTAAAGATTTGCACCTTAATTCCCCCTTTTGCATCATGTCTGTGCTGATCTTTCATAGCTTTTGCATTGCTAGTTTTCTCAGGAAAAAAAAAGCTGTTTTGGCAACTGTGTAATCTAGGCATAATTGAGGTGCTCTTTATCATTTAGAAGAATCTATTTTGTTTATGCAAGTGTATATGAACTTTTATGCATATATGACAAGTTTTCTTACGGTATCTGGATTATTTAGGTTGGGAACTTTTTATGACTGATGATTTTATGAGTAGTTTAGAGAGTTTCTTTTATTATTAAAGGTATTATGCATTTGAATATTTGGATTTAAACTCATTTAATGAAGGAATAATCAAGTGTTTCTTATAGATATATGACAAGTGTTGTACCGAAATGAATGACTTGCATGATATTTTTTTTTTACCTAAAGCAACACTAGATTTTGCTTTTTGTGATTCCAAATGGCAGTGTGTTTGTTCCAGTAAAATAATTTCCTTGTATTATAAATCTGAAGAAAATGGATTGAAGTATTGCATTTGCTTAATAAAATTCTAGTTTGTTGTATATTTGAGTGAGTGTGTGTGTGTGTGTGTGTGTGTGTGTGTGTGTGTGTGTGTGTGTGTGTGTGTGTGTCTGTGTCTGTGTCTGTGTGCGTGTGGCGTGTGCGTGTGCGTGTGCGTGTGCGTGTGCGTGTGCGTGTGCGTGTGCGTGTGCGTGTGCGTGTGCGTGTGCGTGTGCGTGTGCGTGTGCGTGTGCGTGTGCGTGTGCGTGTGCGTGTGCGTGTGCGTGTGCGTGTGCGTGTGCGTGTGCGTGTGCGTGTGCGTGTGCGTGTGCGTGTGCGTGTGCGTGTGCGTGTGCGTGTGCGTGTGCGTGTGCGTGTGCGTGTGCGTGTGCGTGTGCGTGTGCGTGTGCGTGTGCGTGTGCGTGTGCGTGTGCGTGTGCGTGTGCGTGTGCGTGTGCGTGTGCGTGTGCGTGTGCGTGTGCGTGTGCGTGTGCGTGTGCGTGTGCGTGTGCGTGTGCGTGTGCGTGTGCGTGTGCGTGTGCGTGTGCGTGTGCGTGTGCGTGTGCGTGTGCGTGTGCGTGTGCGTGTGCGTGTGCGTGTGCGTGTGCGTGTGCGTGTGCGTGTGCGTGTGCGTGTGCGTGTGCGTGTGCGTGTGCGTGTGCGTGTGCGTGTGCGTGTGCGTGTGCGTGTGCGTGTGCGTGTGCGTGTGCGTGTGCGTGTGCGTGTGCGTGTGCGTGTGCGTGTGCGTGTGCGTGTGCGTGTGCGTGTGCGTGTGCGTGTGCGTGTGCGTGTGCGTGTGCGTGTGCGTGTGCGTGTGCGTGTGCGTGTGCGTGTGCGTGTGCGTGTGCGTGTGCGTGTGCGTGTGCGTGTGCGTGTGCGTGTGCGTGTGCGTGTGCGTGTGCGTGTGCGTGTGCGTGTGCGTGTGCGTGTGCGTGTGCGTGTGCGTGTGCGTGTGCGTGTGCGTGTGCGTGTGCGTGTGCGTGTGCGTGTGCGTGTGCGTGTGCGTGTGCGTGTGCGTGTGCGTGTGCGTGTGCGTGTGCGTGTGCGTGTGCGTGTGCGTGTGCGTGTGCGTGTGCGTGTGCGTGTGCGTGTGCGTGTGCGTGTGCGTGTGCGTGTGCGTGTGCGTGTGCGTGTGCGTGTGCGTGTGCGTGTGCGTGTGCGTGTGAGTGTGTGTGTGTGTGTGTGTGTGTGTGTGTGTGTGTGTGTGTGTGTGTGTTTGTGTCAGTGAATGAGAATGAGCTTGTATGTGTGCATTTGCATATTCCTGAGTGATACTTGAATTACATATGTGCAGGTGTATATTTGTATGTGTGCTTTTGTATGCATACACATGAACATGCTTCTGCATATGAAAAAAATCATTTCAGAGACCAGTGTTATGTTCATAGACAGACACATAGGGGACAACTCTATATATTGTTTTACACATATGTTAATCAGAATATCTTTTAATTCCTGTATAATTTTATGAAGTGAGTATTTTTTTGTTAACAAGAAACAAATACGGCAATAAAATTGAGTGATAAATTACTGATAGGTTAGCTAGACTGTGATTATAGAACACTGCCTTTATACGTCTTTGGTTTATAGTTCACATTTTTCAGACTAATTATTATCATCCTTTTGAAAGTAATTACTATTACAGGAGGATGAGATTTTGCAGTTTCAAGATAATATATGTAGTGGATACTTCAGATTTATATTATTTAAAGTTGGATAACAACAATGTATTTAATTCTGATGTTGATGGAATAAAGTCTGATGCAAAGTATTTTGTTTTCTTTAGTTTTCATGTCCTTGTATCATTCCCCCCAATTCCATGCCGGTTGTTGTCATGGGGGGCTTAGGAGACGGAGACTGGGGCCCAGTGCTGGGGATCACCCCTGCCTTGGGCCCTAAACTTCTGTCTTGTAGGTCATGAACATCCTGGGGAGCCTTGGGTACAGTCTTCCCCTGTTTAGTGGTCTAGCTCTCCAGGAGACCTTCCTCCTTTCCCAGCATCCCAACTTCCTCACTCCCACAACTTTCTTCATCAGCTACCCCATCCTCCCTTATTATTACACTACAACCATATTGTCTGCTTCTTCACAGTACTACCTCTCTCAACACTACTCCCTCTTCCACACGCCCCCGTGTTAGTGGTATTCCCACCTCTATAAATATGCTATGTACTCTATTTAACCCAGCCAAGTGTTACCGATATATCGTGATCCCTCCCGCAGCTTCTTAC